GCCAAAACATGTATAAAATATAATGGTATAGTAGATGAAGGAATTATTGAGATAAGACCCCTGTTTTCTCTCGTACCTCTCTCTTCAGTAAGCACACAAACTCTAAAAAGAAGATAAAATCTCATGAAAATAATATATCAAAAGGAGGCCCTTTGCATCTGACAACACACATACATATATATAAAAAAAAAATTCGAAAACAATTGACAGTATTTAGTAGTTAAGTGAGATTGGACCTGTTCTTGGTGCTGAGTTTCATAACAAACACAATTGAAACAAATTAAGCAAATGACAACTTAACTCATATGACAAATTAAACAACTAAAAAGAGTAAAAAAAAAAAAAAAATTGTACCATAACACACACATAACAGGGCATTTGTCTACACACAACACTGCATTTGTCTCCGCATAAACATTTGATCAATGGATGCAAGCAAATTAACAACAATCATAGGCAACGGTAAGAACCCATTGGAATCAACAACCCAAAGTTTGTATAAACTTATGCCAAACACTGAACTAGACATAATATTGTTCCAACTTCCACTTAACAATACTGAGGGTTAAGGTGTTACCTTTACCGGTCACGGAGAAAAGCTCAAAACTTTTCAGACTGGAGATGGAGGTGTATTTATCAGAAAAAAAAAAAGATAAACAACAATAAACAATATCGAATTAACAATCCACTAATATTTAGACAAATGGACATATAGGTTAATATGGCGATTAGGAGCTCACATTTAGGCCCAATGGAAGATGCACGATCTCTACAGGAACAATGGCGTCTTCGTGTCTACAGGAACTAGGGCAAAAAATGAACAATTTCAACATTCGTTCCACAAATCTAGCGAGAAATGGAAATAAATCGAAAGTAAAAAGTGAAGCATGGCGATTGTGGAGCTCACCTGTAGGCACCTAGGAAAATCCGAAGCTTCACCACCACTTCGCAACAATGGCGACGTTCTCTGCAGCTAGGGCAAAATGCCCGATTTTTTCCATATATTGGAAGAAAGCTGTAAATTCGTGAAAAATAAAGGGTATAATGGTCTTTTCGCAGTGAACAGTGAGGGTATGAATGGTATTTTTGTTGGTCGGATTATTTAGTCAGAGGGGGGAGGCGTGATTTTTTTGTCCGAGAATGGCGGATGAGAGCATGCCACATCCGCGCCATGTCACCCTAATCCCATCCCAAACGTGCGAAGTAAACATAAGATTGCGGGATTATTTCCCTTATCCTATCCCAATCCCCCGAAGTAAACGACCCCTAAATATATAATATTTAAGAAACTTTAAACAACATAGTTTTTAAAAAATTGTTTTAGGGAACTTTAAACAGCATATTTACGTCACCCATAAAACAGATTATATTTTAGCAGCATAGTTATAGTATTATTTAAGAAACTTGAAACAACATTGTAAATATTTACGTCCACCCATAAATTTTTTGCAAG